AGTATTCTAGTCTAGTAGCTAGGACTTTCTCTAGAACTTTACCTAGGTAGCTTAGAAGAGAGATTACTCTATAGGATTTAGAAATTATATAGTTTCGATTAGGCTTAGAGAGGATAATTCCTATAGCTTATTTCTACCTAATGGGGTGATAGCCTCTATTAAAAAGAGCTTTATAGAGATTAAAGAGTCTTTTCTCTAGAATAGCATAGATCTTCTAAATTATTAGAAAGGATATTTTATCTAATCTAGCTACCTTTCTAGAGGAGCTAGTGTAGATAGCCTACTTAACTTCTGATTTAGTTAGACTAGGCTAATCCTATTCTTATTCTTAATAATTCTATAGATCTATGGCACTAGATAGGGACAGCTTTTTAAAAAGAACTTCTATAAAAGCCTCGCATTTATCACTAAAGGTAATAGCCTTGATCTCTTCCCTATCTTTAGTATAGGTTAGTATAGAGAGCTTCTCTAGGTATCTTTTTTTAGTATAATTAAAGGCTTTAAAGATTTCTTTTCCTTTAGCTTCTTTTAGAAATTTATTCTAGCAGGCTTGTTTAGTATTCTTAACCTCTTAAAAATAGTAATTTCTAGATTCCTTAAAAATATCTAAGGGGATTAAGCTTTATTTATATCTAGAGCTATCCTTTTTTATATCTTTCCTAAGTTTTTTTAGTCTTAGTATCTACTAAGGCTTTAAGTATTTAGATATACGTTTTTTAGGAATAGTAGTTTCTAGAGTAGTAAATATCAAGCTCTCTAGATAATTAGCTTTATTATCTAGATCTTCTAAAGAGTTATCTAAACTAAGAACAGAAATAAATTCTCTTTTTTAAAGATTTGATTCTAATTCTTTTAGAACTTTATCATAGTTAGCCTTTTCTAGATTATATTAATTAGATAAAAGGGAATTCTCTACTAGGCTGGTGGGGTCTATCTCTATATTAAAATAGATAACTTTATAGTCTGAGCCTAATTCTAGAGACTCCTCTATCTACTAATTATAGGGTCTCTCTAAAAGAGAAGAGGATAGATAAGTAATATTTATAATAAATAGGTTCTCTATAGATTTTAAGTAAGTAGCTTAATCTTCCTTATTAATTATATTAAACTAGTATTTATCTAACCAATATATCAACTTTTCTACTCTAAGAGAGGATAATCTCTTAGAAGAATTAAGTTCTTTATAGGAGTTATTTTTTATAGTTCTCTTTTTATAGTTCTACTTTCTATTTTTTCTTTTAAAAATAGTTTGTTATAAATATTTATTAGTTAAATAGTTTCTAGTTCTTATTTAAAGTCTATTATATCTATAATTAGAAGGTCTAGATTATTTATTATATTTAATCTTAGATTAATCTAATATTTAAATTTTTTTCTTATAAAAATCGCTACTCTAGGTTTAACTTCTCTAGTTTAGAGAAGAAAGTAGAAGTAGGAGGGATAAGCTATAGTATATTAATAGTCTATACTTATCTAGAGGTCCTAAAAGAGAACTAGATTAATTTTATTATTAAAGGCTATATCTAAGTAAGTATATATTAATATATTCTTTCTAGCTATATTATTTTAAAGAAAGCTTAATTTTATTTCTATTATTATAGTTTTTCTTATAGGATTTTAACTTTAACTATGACCTAGGGCTTTGGCTTAGTAGAAGTACTAGCTTCTTCTTTAGCTTCTACTTTAACTAGTACCTTAGATAGATAAAGCTTCTTAAAAAAAGGGTAGTTTTAACTATTTACTAGATATTTATTTTCTATAATTTATATATTTTATAGTAGTATATTTATATTATTTTTCTAGAGTATAGTAAACTAAATAGTTATAGATTTTAATTTCGTAATTTTTTATATAAATTTAATAGTTTGGTTTAATAGCTTTATATTTTATAGAACTATAGCTATATTTTTAGTAGAAATAGTATTATATTTTAGTTTTAAAAGTTTTTTATTTAGGTTTATATTTTTCTAATTTATAGTATTTACTTATAATTAGAAGAAGCTTAGGAGGGATTTTCTCTTTTAGATAGAGAAAGGCTAAACTTTTAGCTTTAGAATTTAGTTCTTCCTTTCTAAATAGCTAGACTAGTTCTTTAGCTAGAAGATCTTTTAGATCTAGATTAAAAATCTAAATCTTTTCTTTAAGGAGTTTAAGACCCCCTTTTTCTTTAAAAGAATTTAGGGAAATTCTATAAATTACTAAATAAAACTATTTTTTATTCTTCTTAAATTATAGTTTCTTCTCTAAATTTAGGAGATAGTATTTAACTACTTTCTTCTAAATTTATTAAGTCTATAAGAGAAATAGAGCTAAAAAGTTAGATATAGTAGTAAAGGTAATATTATCTCATTTAAAGTTTTTTTCTATTAATACTAGAACGAGGCTAGTAATTCCCTTTTTTTAAGAAAAAGCTATATTAATAATATTTTTTATCTTATATTCTTTTAGGGAGTCTTAAAATTTTAGGATACTAATATAGAGTTTTCTTTAGGAAGGGGGGATATTAACTTTTTTAGGGGTTTTTTTAAAAATTTCTTTAGATATCTTTTTTAATTTCTTAATCTCGTTTTTCCCTTTTATAATAGAGGTATAGGAGGGTCTCTAAGGTAGTTTTTCCTCTCTTTTCTCTTTCTTCTCTTTCTCTAGTAATTTCTTTAAAGATTATATTTTTTTCTCTATCTTCTAAAGAGGTATTTTTAAGGAGTTATATTAATTTCTCCTATAAACTAGAAGCTATTTAAATTATTACTTCTATTCTTCTAGAATTTCTAGAATTTTTAGCTCTTCTTCCTCTCTAATTTTCTACTCTAGAATATTTAGAATAATTTCTAGATTATTCTAGCTAGTTTTCTTAGAGGGAGCGAGGCTAGTTTTTTGGTTTTTAGCTTCTTTCTCCTTATTTTCTTTAGAAGAAGAGGCTTTTAGGCTTTCTTTAGGGGCTTTTTTTTAAGGTAGTATAGAGAGGGGTATAGGGGTTAAAGAAGGAGAAGATTAATTCTCTAAATCTATCTCTATATCTTTTAACTCTAAAGCTTAAAAAAGGTTACTTTCCTTAGAGAAGGAGAAAGGGATAGGGGAGATCTTTTCTTTAGATTTCTTTAGGGTAGCTATTCTTATTCTTCTAACTTATAGTTAGGTAGGTAAGTTTTATTAGATTACCTAAAACTCTAGATTTATAGGTTATCTATAACTATTTAGTAAAAGAAAATATATTAAAGAAAGATTTAACTAAATATATCTCTAAGAAATAGAGTATATAGTCTTTCTCCCTTAAAGAAGTATATTTTAATAGTAGTTTTTAAAGAGAACTACTAAACTATTAGATTTTTTATAGGAAAATCTTTTTAAAATTTAGAGAGATATTTCTAAATAATATAGTCTATTTTAGGGGATATCTAATTTAAATAATATTAGATAGAGTATATTTCTCTATAAAGTAGAAAAGTAAGAGCTAGCTTCCTATTTTTTCTAAGAAAAATTTTAGAAAAAAAAGTTACTATCTTTTAAGTAGTAATAATTAACTATTTTACTTTTCTTTTTAGTAGAGAATTAGAAATTAAAATAACTACTTTAGTTTACTTTTAAGTAGAGATCTCTACCTTCTAGTTCTAGTTTAGAACTTTTTAGTATTATAGAGGCCTCTAATTTTTTAAAAGGGGTTTAAGAATTTATATAAAATATATTACTTAAGTTTAGTTTATTTAGATATCTTAGTCTTCTAGAAGAAACTATATTTAGATAAGCTTTCTAAAGGTAGCTAAGCTATTATTATTATTATTATTATTCTTCATTATACTCCTATGCAGTCAAAGACTATGAGGAGTTCTATATTTAATAAATACAGAAGAGGATAAGAAATCAAAATTTAGCCTCATAAGGCTCTAGAGTTTGGGAAAGATGCAATTTGGTAATAGCCTAACATAGGCAAATCACTAATCTAATTTGAGTTAATTAAGCTCTTTTATAGAGACTTAACTAGGATAGTTATATATATATATATATATATTTTTTTTTTTTTTTTTTTTTTTTTTTTTTGGTCCGTGGCACCAGGGTGCTGTAGTACCGGTGCCACTGGTTCTATTCAGGGTGCCACTATTATTTGAAGGCCTTAACGGGGTCTAGCGACGGCGAGATATATACCAATCGACTCGAAATCGTCTGTAGAATATACCTAGCGGTTCCCCGGAGTCGTTTGGAGTACTTCTAAAAAAGTTGTATAATGGCACCTGGTCCGTGGCACCGGTGCCACTGGTTCCATTCAGGGTGCCACTATTATTTGAAGGCCTTAACGGGGTCTAGCGACGGCAAGGTATATACCAATTGACTCGAAAACGTCTGTAGAATATACCTAGCGGTTCCCCGGAGTCGTTTGGAGCACTTCTAAAAAAGTTATATAATGGCACCTGGTGGTAGCTAAGCTACTTTCTAGTAGTTTTTAGTAGTAGGGACCTAATAGCTTAGCTAAACTATTAGGTATTTTAGCTATAGCTACTAATTTTTATTAAGATAGATTAGATAAGGAAAGATAAGGATTAATAAGTAATAAATAATAAAAGATAAAATAAGGAAAATTAAAATTAAAGAAGGGAAGGGGGAAAAGAAAAAGGAGGCTTAGATAAGTAGGGCTTAATAAAGAAAATCAAAATAGAGAAGAAAAAATTTTTCCTAGAATATTAGGGTATATTTAATAAAATTTCTCTAAAAATAGAAGGTATTTTAGAGTCAAAATTAAGCTATAAATAAAATTTAATAAGAGCTTTAAATTAAGTTACTTTTAACTATAAATAGCTACTAGCTAGTTATATTCTAATAAAGCAAGAAGTTTGCTTATAGCTATATATATATAATAAATATAAGTAGTATTATTTATATTATTTAAATAATATAGAGAATATTATTTAAACTTATTAGTTTAAATATAATAAAGTATATAATAAAAGTAAGTTATATTATAAAAATTAGTTATAAAAAATATATTATAAATACTTAAAGGGTAGATTATATAAGAAAAGTAATATAATATAATTATATTAATAATATTATATATAAAAAATAGCTTAAATATATAAAATATACTATATTAACTCTCTAAATAAATAGTAGAAAATAGATTTAATATATAGTTTATATAATATTTACTACTAGAGTATAATATATAAAATATATATAAAAAATTAATATTTATCTAAAGTATAAATTAATTAGTAAGTAAGTCTCGAGCTAGCTAGAGGCAGAAACTATAAATTATATAGCGTAACTACTTATTTACCCCTAAACTAGCCTCGGGCTATTTATATTTTTACTAATATATAGTAACTATTTTAGTTAGTTTTATTATTATTTATAAGTATAATTATAGTATAGTAAAGAGTTAGTTCCTTATTATTAAAAGTTAGAGTAAAAAGGTCTACTATCTAAATTATATATTTTATCTTATTATAGAGAAAAATATTATAGAAAAGAAGGAAGTTTATTACTATCTAGAGAAATAAATATAGTTAACTAAAGATATTATAGCCCTAGATCTAGTAAAACTATATAATACTCTTAAATTATAAGAGAGAATAGCTATTTTAGAAACTATTAAAGCCCCTATCTATATACTCTATTCTTTTTTTATTAGTTTTCTATATTTATTAGAACTATATAAAGTTTTTAATTATATTTCCCCTAGAATATTTATAGATATTTATCCCCTAGCTATACTATATATTCTAGAGGTCTACTAGAGTAGAAATATATAATCTAATAGAGATATAGAAAAGAGTCTACTTTATAGCTATTCTATTAATATTAATTTAGTCTTTTTTATATTTAAATAATTAAATATCTCTCTCTAGTACCTCTTTATAAAGAAATATATTTAACTTCTTTTTATTTATAATTTCTCTATCTATAAAGCTAATTTTTTAATATTAGTTCTAATAGACCTCTATTATTAGTCTAGTATACTATATAGTAATATAAACTAGAGAATAAAAGAATAAGAAAGAGATATATATACTTTTTATTTTTTCTATTAATTATTATATATAGTTTATATATTTTTTAACTAATATTTCTAAATATATTAAAATATATACTTCTAGCTTTAAAATAAAATAATATTAATCTTAAACTAGTAGTCTAGGGTACTAGTATTATTTATAAAATAATTTATTTTAATATAATATATAGAGTATAAGGAAGTAATAAACTACTTAAATCTATAAACTATAGACTAGATAGAAATAGTATATATATATATATTTAATATAGTAGAGAAGAGAAGTATAAGTAGATAGGCTTTGATAATTAGTGATAAAATATAACTAGCTTATTTAATTAAATATATAAGGCCTTGGTATAACCACCGTAATAACCGCGGTTATAACTAGGCCAAGCCCCCCCCCTATATAACCATTAGTTATTACGAGGGGGTGTACACCAAGAGGCCCCCAAATAACTCGAGGTAGCACCAGGTCCTATAGCATCGTATATGTATCGCCAGGCCAGATGCAAACGTATAACGGAAAGCGGGGAAGTGATCCTGGTGTTTTTATTTTGGACCCTGTGGTGAATGTACGCCAGGCCTTACAGGTAGTTTATAGGTATATGGGGCTCGCTCAGGGTCTGAACCCTTGCATTAACTAGTTGTTGCTGGATGCAGGTGAAGATGTTGGGGGCCCTATGCTTATGAATTACGGGGATCGCTTTAGGGCCATTTCTTTTCATGCTCATTTCAGATGCAATTTTTCAGGCACTGAGTCAGTTATCTATGAAAAGCATACATTTGCCTGACCAAGTTCATATCCCATGCTTAACCGTCGTGACGTTATTCTACTACTTGGGCCACCACTCCTTTTTTAGAGAGAACATTCCGCAACTAAAGTACGAAGTGCCGAGTCAACTTCCCATGTCAACGTTATTTGGGGGTGATATTAGTCGATGGAGCGTAGGAGCTGCATAAAATCCTTTGAAATCCACTCCACATAGCTCTTCCATGAATGGTGGTCATTAGACGCCTCTGCAGCAGGGAATGCCATCTGTAACTCCCTGCTGACCTTCAGTACGCCGATAGATGCCTCCTGCGCCTTTTCCAGCTCCTGTTTAACGGCTGATTCTTTGGGTTTGACGGACAACACGACCCGGAATGAGTTGCTGAAAGCATCAAGTCGAGCAAGTGTTTCTTCTGGCGCCAAAGTCATCAACTTGGAAATCATGAGTGTGCAAAGAGTTCTGATGTCCTGTTCGTCTTCAATGCCGGCAATAATCCTATCGTAGACCTCAGGAAGGTTGACGGCAGAAAATGCGACATCAAGGCAGGTGTAAAGTGTTTCGTATGCGCTCTATAGTCGTCGATTAGTAAAACGAAAAGTATGTTTAGTCATGAACTACTTCACGGTCCTCACCTTACGAAGTTCCAGGCCGTCGTCAACCTTGTGTTTAAAGGGGCCCATCTGTACTTCCCGAACAAGCTCCGGCTTCAAGTTCGTGTCTCCCATAACGGCGGGTAGCAACTGGGGAAGATGGGGTAGCACAAGAGCTGTCTTGTTGTGAATTGCAGAGTTAAGGGTTGTCAAAGCCAGGCGGTGGTTAGCCAAGTCACCATCATTGAGTATTGTGACCAAAACAGGGACTATAAGCGGACGGAGTGTCTCGTTATAGGTGTTGCTAGAATCAGCAAGAGTGTAACGGAATGCAGATATAACTGTGCCTCTGATAGTAGCATTTGGATGGGACAGGTATTCCTATTCAGAAATATTAGCGTTGTGCGTTATCGACAACGTCAATAAGGGCGAAGGAACATACCTGTAGCTGTGGAATGTAAGTTGCGGGATCAATCAAGGATAGGCGCCCGATACATTCGGCACCAACGGTGCGGTTGTCTTCATCGTCAGAAGCTGACAATAGTATCTGCCACAGTCGAGTTGCGAATGGCGCAACATGGGTCTTGACATCTTCCGGGTGTTGAAGAATCTCTTTAAGTGAGTGTAACAGTAGATATTTAGAAGACTTAGACTGCTCTAGTCCTTCCAGAATAACAGGTAAGTAAGCATCCACGTTGCTAGCTCCCGCATTCCCAAGGGCAACGGCCGCAGCGAGTCGGACTTTGTCTGACGGAGAATTGAAGTTTGTAATGAACAGCTGAGGGTCAAGGGGCGATTTGGCTCCCATTCTGAGGCCAATTTCACCCAAGATGGCTAAAGCAAGACACTTGCGTTGGTTGTCTTGGGCCGTCTTGAGTTCAATAAGGAAATCTTCGGTTGTGACGCCAACTTTTGGTCCACTGTAAACCAGTAGAGTTCCAATTGCCTTTCCGACAACGGCTGAATCTCCATTAACGCCAACGGTTTGTAACAACGCTTTCATGAGCTTTGCACCTGCTCCCTGTTCACCAATGACACGGACGAGAAGGATATATGCCTTCAATGCCGTGCCCGTCAGAGTGCCTTGAACAGCAGCACAAAGCTGAGTAATAATATTGTCATTGACAAGATCTGGACCGTAATGGGGTAGAAGTTTTGCGAAGATAACTAGTGCAGGTGTCAACAGATGCAAATCGTCTGCAGAAATAAGGGGCGAAATGGCGACGCGTAGGCCTTCCGTCGTGTGTTTGTCGAGATACTGTCTGGTCTGAGAGTTCATAGCGATACTCTTCAGAGCTCCTAGACAGACGTCGCGCAAGGTGCGATCAACCTTCCTAAGCTGGGCCGCAAGCTCAAGTGTGACATATCCAAGCCAGGATGGCTCAACATCATCGCTTTGGCGAGCGAGTAATGCAACATCATCTATGGCACGAGCAGCGGCGACTCGTGTAGTCTCGTTCTTTAGGCGTTCGAGGAGAACTAAAAGTGCCTTTCGTCTCTGCTCGAGAGTGATAAATCTGCGCCCTTCTGGTCCAGATGTGCGACTTAGCATTACTCCAAGAACATGAATACCACGCTGCCGAACTCCCAAGTCCGTGCTGTTGTTGGTCACCTTCTCCGCCACGATATCGTACAGTTTCTCCAGCTGTAATCCCAAATCACGGTCATCCACGGAGACTCGTGGAGGAGTTAGAGCAACCACAATCTGTTCAATTGCGCCTAGTGCTTCGCTCGATACCTTGAAATCTCTGTTATTCACACAAGCGACAACTCCAGGTATCAGGGCAATTAAAAAGGGAGAGAGAGATCCTGAGGGGTGAGTCTCAGAAATTGCAGCAATTAACCCCAATGCCTCAACCTGAAGGTTTCCTGCACTGACTGAGTTTGACCCGGCAGAAACTGTGACACCACCAGAGAGGCCAGAAGTCTTCAAGGCGTCTGCGATAGGGTCTTCGATTCTCTGTAGATAGTCTGCTAGGCCGCCATAACGAACTAGAGCAAGAGCTTTTAGCAGGAGAATAGCGCCTTGTTTAAGGGGTATCGGTGCGCCTCTCCATAATTTAGTCAACGCTTGAACGATACCCGGAGTGAGATCTGCAAGGTCAGTCTGCGGGCCGGGCTGAGGAGTTGACGGTTTTGCAATTGGGGTATCCGAAGTAGATGGTGGTGGGAAATCCGATTCCAGATCAATCACGGTAGCGTTGCTATCTTGCCGTCTTCTCTTTCGAGATGAACGAGTTTGAGAGAATGGATCAGCATAAAACAGGTTAGGTCCGGTAGCCAGGTCACTTGTCTTTCGGACCAAGCCAGTCATTGTTGCGACAACCTCAACCTTGACACTCTCTTCTCTTTCTTTCGTGAATCTAGAAAGAAGTGCGGGTGCTATTTTCTGATATATTGAGCCGTCTTCGACAGCTCTGGCGTTTCGTCCCTGAGTTGACACAATGGTGTATAAAACTTTGGCAGCGCATCTGCGAACTTTCCAGCTAAGATCATCAATGTCACTGTATCCTTCTTCTTCCTCAAAGTCATCAAATGCATCATTATCGTCATCGGGCTCTTCAGTAGCTCCATCATCGCTGCTTTCGTCCTGGGTACCACCCATTTCTTCATCTTCCTCCAGTTCTGCAACGTTTGGATCATACTTGAGATATCTCAAAGCAGCCGCAATACAATCATTAAGGTATGGCTGCATTTCGGATCCACAATATCCCAGTAGGGTATCGAGGGACACTAGTGCGGTCTCACGCAACTCATCCTGTTTGGGATCATGCTCTCCATCGTCGGACATGTCATCATCCACCTCATTCATCTCCTTTTCACTAACAGCAGAAAGCACAAAAGGAGCTAATAGTTTTAAATGCGGGCCAAATTTTGCGGGTGTAGACCTAGCCATGGCGGAAATGGCGGCGATCAAATGACGGCGACGGTTGATAGTAAGATGCGGAGATTTGAAACTTTCAATAAGGCCAGATACGAAACCACTTAGTTGAGTATCAGACAAGTGGATTGACAGCATTGAGATTGCTGTCAGGGCACGCTTGGTAACCACCGTTCCAGCATGATCGTTTTCAATGATGCGTAGAACGGTCTGTAGGAGCTCGAACAACTCTTCGTCGTTTAGCATGGGTCCATAAGACCGCACTACATCGATCAACACATCAATGGCATCACTGCTAAAACCCTTTGCCGGGTCATTCACTATCATTCCTGGTTCCGCGGTTGGCTGATTACCTCTCGTCGGTGTACCAATCAAGCGTGGAATTAGGACCATAGACACCGCCTCATAGCTTGTCTGTACCTCTTTCGAATTGATAAGGTTGATATTAGGTCTTGGAAGGGCCGCGAGGATCATCCGAAGAGCGGTGTTTGGCACAGACGTGTCGATGGTTTGAGAGCTCGTGAGAAGGGCAAGCTTGTCGATAAAAGGAGAGAGAACATCAGGTGGCAGACGCGTAGCCAGAGGTCCAATACTATTCCCTCAAAGTCAGAACAGGCTTATTCATTGCAGTGGCTAGGAGATAGGAGGTCTATCTTACCATTTTAGAGCTACATTCTGTACCTCTCCATTCTGGTCCTCCAGAGATTTGAGCAGTCCCTGGACCATTCGGTTGCATGATGAAAGGTCCTGTGAGAAGTAGGATGGACTGCAGCCTTCAATAAGAGATAGTAGATCGTTCAGGGACATGTAGCGGATATCTGGGTCCGGATCAGTGAGCTTGACCATCAGCGGCCCCAGGGCCTGCTGGATAGACTGCTTATGGAACGCCATCTCTGCGGGCCTAGAACAATGCCGGGGAAGAAACAGCTCAAGAAGAGCTTCTCTTTAGAAGGACCACAGGGCTATAGTAGTAGTAGTGGTAGTAGTAGTAGTAGGAGCAAGATAGCCAAGATGTGATGGCGAAGAGGGCAAGATGTTCAATATCAATACAGAGAGACTGAGGGGACTCAGAAGGACATGGCGGGGTTGCTTTATAGGCAGCAACCGGAAAATGCAGCTAAGGAAGACATTCAGAGGACAAGAAGACCAACTGAGAGTGAAGCCCTTGTCGACTCAGGATATCCTTCAGAGTGGCTGGAGAAGTCCTGGCCTCCTGGTCTGGCGTTGCTTGTGTCATGTAGTAGTTAAACAGAGAAGAAGCGGAGGGAGACGTATGTAGTGAGCTTTACCAGCATTGGCTCTACATAGAAAATGCACCCCAACCATCCGCCACTACGCCTGCTATCTGCTACATAAACATCCCTATCAATATCGCAATGTTCCTTCTATACATCTAGCTAACCACTTTGAACATGTTATTAGCCTCCAAGATGCATCTTAAGTGCTGCTTGCTGTCCCAGAGTGAGGATGGCCTGTTACCGGATCACGTGGCCACTGCTTGTTAGGTCTAACCTCTTTCTTCTTTTCTGCTTCTTCGCTTCTTCTTCTCAATTCTTGCATCTCACTCAGCCCATCAACTGCCACCTTCTACACCCGTTCGAGGAGTCCGATTCCAGCCCAATTGCGCTCATTCTCTGCAATTGACCAGGTAACGTCATGGTTTTCTCACGATCGCCCGCTCTCCGGTCACTCTGGGCCCAGTCCAGACGGATCTCGGCTCCCAGAGTACCGACAACTCGAGCATGGCAGCGAGTTTCTCGAAGAGGCTATGCCGACCAGGCTCACGGTTCTCATGAGGCTGGAAGCGATATGCCATGGTAAGTCTGTCTTGTCGGGTGTCTGGCGATGTGTATTGTCAAAGACGTTTTCCGGATCAGCCCACTACCTCGACTAGTGGCTATGACGGCTTGTAGTAAAGCAGTTCTATACATTGCCGCGGGTATTCTGATAATTGACTGATGCAATTGCTCTGTTTGTTGATTCTAGGCTGCTTGGTTCCGTCGCATTCACCCTCCCCGCCGCATACTACCTCTACCAGTCCGGCCCTGCTGGAAAGTCCGGCCATGATGCCCACCCACACGTTGAACACGCCGTTGAGAAGGTGAAGGAGGCCGTCAGCGAACCAGTCAAGGAAGAGGCCAAGCCAGAGCCAGCCGCCGAGCCAAAGGCCGACCCTGAGGAACCCAAAGCCGAGGAACCCAAGGCCGAGGAACCCAAGGCCGAAGAACCAAAGTCCGAGGAGCCAAAGACAGAGGAAGCTCCAAAGGCTGAGAGCGAGACTGAGGAAAAGCCAAAGGAGGAGGAGAAGCCCGCCGAGGCTCCTGCTGAGAAGGCCGAGGAGGAGAAGCCAAAGGTGAGTGCGAGATGAGTCCCTTGGAGCTCAGGTGGGACTGGCAATTAACAATGTTGTTTATTTAAAGCAGGAGAAAAAGGAGGAACTCGCTACTGCTGAGGAGAAGTCTCCTAACCCCAGGGCTCCTACTAAGGAGCCTCCTACCAAGTCCAGCTAAGCTACCTCTTCTTGAGTTTTAAGCGTGGGATTCTGAGCAGCAAAGAGACAAGCCGCCCGTTGAATGTCTATTCTCTACAACAGTTCATTTTCCTTACAATTCCTGCTACCCTTGTGCTGTAATATAGTGAATGACATGATCATAAAACCGATATAAAAGAGCATGTACAGAACCCAAACCCTTCTTTCTTACAACTCACCCAAGCTCTCTTTATTTCATTTTAGGTCATTAGAATAGATGCAGATATATACATTGACTTGTTTCCTTAGATTGATACCATCACCTCTTCCATGAAGGTTGGGCCTGTATTACATTAATTAGAAAGCATAGATAATGATAATAATCATCATCACAGGAACATGTTCAGTCAGCATTGAGCATTCAAAGGAAAAGCAGAGCATATTGAAACTATCAGGGGATGATAGCCGGTCTGCAGTCTGCTATCCCTAGGAGTCCATTCAACCTGAAAAGGGGGAAGGGGGAAAGTCGACGTAATATATATAAGAAAATCAAATCTAACCGTACGCCAATGCTATGGTCGGTCTCGTAAAGTGAGACTTCGAACCCATGCCCCCTCATATATATATCGCGGGCTTCGATTTTTCAGATGCCCACTGACAAAGAGAATATAACAAGGAAAGGAGAAAAGGAGGATGGATAAACATGATTAGAGGTATGTATATGGAGGGAAAGGGTAAAATCCTTGACCTGCCGAGGCTATGCAATTCAAGGGTATAAGAATGGAACAGAAGGCTCAGGTCATCCGGTAAGTTCTCATGGTTTTCATGGTTTTGAAGAATGGTAATGGAAAAGGGAGAAGAGAAAAACAGAAAGAAATAATTATCTTCATTCATTTGCGTTTCGTGGTGGCACCGTTTGAATTCCCGTTAGTCAATAGTCCTGTAGATGATCCGTTCTCGATCGGATCGACGTTCTCCTTCGTAGCATGGCCGTTGACGAGGAGGGTTGGAATGGAAACTCCATTCGCTTCGCTGGTCATGCTTGATTCTTCAATCTCGTCTTCTTCTTCTTCGTTGTCACTTCGCTCGTCCTGCAGTGCGTTGCCAAAGACATAGGTCTTGGCGATGCGGATGATAAGGTAGAGCCAGAATAGGTTGATAGCCTGGAGAGAACCCAGGAGACCAAATGTGATGTACTGGCTAACCCAGAACTTGTACTGTTCGGTCTCCCAGTTGAGTTCAAAGGGCCCAACGGTTCGGAACTCTGTCAGGACGGCCCAGAGAATGTGGAGGTTAAGGTAGTGCCTCATGTAAACCCAGACGGCAACGAAAAGAGCGAAGAATGGGGTGATAATCGGCGAGTCCAGATAATTGAGCGTTTTCGACGTCTGCAGGCCGTCAGTTGCAAATTCAAAGCAAAAAGGGAAAGCATATAAAAAAAGGGTGGGAATCGGTGGAGTAGGAGACTCACAGCAAGGAAAAAGTCAGAGATGTCATGTGTGATGTAGACGGCGAGACCGATATAAGTGAAGTGGAACCGGTAGCTCAACGCAATGAGTGCGAGAGTGATGATATGATGCCCAACCAACTCCTTAAAGTCCCTCCTAGGTTTCTCTAGTTTAAGCAACAGCACAATTCCTTGCTGAGCCCAGTATGCGGCCTCAAGGAGGTAATACGCCTTGAAGTCCGCTGTATGCGATTTATGCGGGAAGTTCTCAAACATGGCCGTAGTGTTGAAGTACCAGATATTCGTCTGCTTCATGACATAGACCTCAGAATACCTCCTCGCCAGATACGAGACTGATATATTCGATCGTCG